TGGGAGGTCAACATGGACTGGACTCGGTACGTACGGAGAGTGGGGAAGGATTGCCCCATCTGTGTGCTGATCACAGGCTGTTTTTATGCAGTACGAACTTCCGAAATAGCCGATACCGACTGACCAATAAGTGTCCTCCAGCGGCAGGCCAGCCATTAGCTCAAATCGCCCACATTTCCGTCAGTTACCAATGGCGCGGAATAATTACTAACTGCCGGTCGATTTGAGAGACCTCTGTGGACTCTGACCAGGCGCCGGCCCAAAGTCGGTTCTCCCTTTTTTTCATGGCCGCGTCAGGTGCGGACAAATCGCTTGGCAACTGGAAGACTGGAAGATCCGATGTCAGACGGAACTTACAAGCATCATGATAATGTTTATTCCAAACTTGTGGGTGGCATGTCGTCTGGCAGTCTAGAGTCTCTTCCAAACGCTCCACCATCGGATGTGGACTCATACTGGGACGAGATTGCCCTCTCTTTCGGCAGTGCCAGGGGTTTTGCCTGTGGCGCGACCCAACCAGGCGCACCCAAGCACTGGATATCAGACTGAACGGTAGCTATACCTGAACCCGAAGAAATATTCCGGCTAGTCCCGAACATATCTCGGTGCGAAGAGTTACCAGACGTCAAGTGTAAGTGAGCTTCCGATCCGGCCGTGATGTATGGTGGACACAGAAAGTCAAAGAAATGGAAGAGGCCCAGAAAGCAGGTAATGCCCGAAGATTATTCCAGTTGATCCTTGCGACCGGTCCCCAGAAGCCGTGAATGAATGAAACTATCATGCATCGAAATGGAACGACCATCTCTAATAAGGAAGAACGCCTCGACCCGTGGGCTGAATACTTCAGCAACCATCTTATTCCAGTTGATCCTTGCGACCGGTCCCCAGAAGCCATCTGTGAATGAAACTATCATGCATCGAAATGGAACGACCATCTCTAATAAGGAAGAACGCCTCGACCCGTGGGCTGAATACTTCAAACAGCAACCATCTAGGCCGCCGGCCGTCACTCGTCTAGAGCCCACAGGTGAAGTAGAACGCTGGACGGTGAACGTGGAACCACCTACGGCCTCGGAGGTTTACGACTGCATATAATCTTTCAAGTGCCACCGATCTCCTAGCCCGGATGACCTCCCACCTGCACTGTTCAAAGACGGAGCTTAAGTCCTCAGTCACTTCTTGTCCGACCTGTTTGCTTGCATTTGGGAAAAGGAGTCTGTCCCAGACAACTGGGGAGAATCGGTGATAGTGCCCATTTTCAAAAAAGGGG